TTTTGTCTTTGAGAGATCCTATACTCTGGCCATTTAAAAAAGGTTTTATAGACCTCTTGGAACTGTTTCACCAGCTGTTTGGAGCTAGTGTACAAGAGATTAACAGGCCTGTTAGGGTTTTGGTGATGCAAGATACAGTAAAAAAAGATGACCCAGAGAGCATGAATTCCGAAGGGAACAGCACATGCTCAAAACTCATAATACATGATTTATCACTCTATTGCTCCAAGCGTGGGAAGCTCCTCCGTTTTGCAAAGTTGCTAGATGTCACAACAGTGTTGAGCTCTCGAACAATCCAGTCAGAAGGCCACTTGCATTTTTGGGCTATGATCACCTGCACTACCTTTCATTTGCTGCACTGTTCCAAGGAAGATGTTTTCCCCCCCTCTCTCCATAAGTATATCTGAAGGCAGTTGAACCATTGCACTAACTGACACTAACTCTTTCAGCATTTGTCAGCTGAAATTTTAAGCTTTCATGTGCTTTAGCCCACCTTTTTGGAGATCTTGTGGTCCTACTTTTGTTCCTCTTTTCCCAGACTGTTTTTTTTTGGTCAGCTGGGTGTCTGACACATGAGGAAACCCATTACTGATTCCGCTATTCCGTTGCCAGATATGTCACCTCTCCAAAGAGACCCCGCTTACTTCCCCCCCCCCCCACCCAGGAGAATCGCCACTCATTCGAGTCCTGTAGCTCAGTGGTTAGAGCACTCGCCTCGTAAACAAGACCTGGGTTTGATTCCAAGCAGGGCGAAACGTTGGGCAAGTTTCCTTACTCCACACGCCTCTGTTTACCTCTCAGTAAGTAGTAACCTGGTTGTTACTCAATTGGCGGATCGCTTTTCCGTAGGCAAAAATTCCTTCAAAAAAAAATTGGTCACTCAATCCAATTGAGCTGCTGTGCTCAATTGGCTGCCACGTTTCGCCCATAAAATATACAGTCAATTCACTTTACAGGATATTCTGTGAAGTGCTTTGAAACGTCTTGAAGAGGTGATAAGACGCTATATCAAATGCAAGAATTATTATTATTATTGTTTTTTTGACAACCGACAAGAGTGGGTTTGAGCCTCACTAGGTGGACGGTAGGTACCAGAAACTCCCTGTGAGCTTCCTGGTGGGCACCACAGCACAGCATGAAATGCCTGAAAGCATTGGTACCATCTTCTTGTCCGCAGCTCGGACACAGATCCCTTCCCATTGACGGATGGTTCCACTAGTTGGAGGTGCAAGGCACAAGCAGCAGCTGCTTACCTCAAGGCAAACCAATAAAGGTGGATTCTAAGCGCTGGATGTACAAACGTATGTTCATGAACTAGGACTCCAGGTAACGCTTTCCAGCAGCTGTAGCCCCAAGCCTCAGAAATTCCTCATCAGCTATCTGACAGACATCTGACAGTTTTCTGCCTGGCTTTTGGATTTTCTGTTAAGTATCTGTTGGTGTCCACAATCGCTCTGTAAATGAACCCAAGTTATAATGAAGCAATATTCTTATGGGGTTCTACTGTGCATCAGATGTGGACAAAGCACTGTATCGTGCTGCATTAATCAGTGTATTTGTCATTGTGCACCTACAAATAACAGTAATGCAATTGGTAATGATAAAAAGCATTGCATCCCAAATCAAAATTTAATTATACATGTAAATTTACAATACAGTCATTTAACATGATAATCTCTTGTGGAGCAGATTAGCATTTAGCTTCAGTATATTGCAGATTTGCTGCGTTGAGCAAAGTCTGTGCTCTGTGTGTGGGTGCACCATGTTTTGTGCATGGCTGTCGTGTTTCTGTACTGACAGTACGCTCAATGTGTAAAGAATGTATTTGAGCTGAGTGAAAAATATGAAAAGGCTCCCAGAAAATAAGCGTGGAACAAAGTTTTCGTAGGTTTCATATCTTTTCACACACACTCCCACCCCTCCAAAAANTAAGCACAAGGGAAACCGAAAAAAATGTCTTTGCCATGATCACACGTTCAGATTCAAAACAGGATTGGCTGTGAAAATGTATTGAAAGTTTCACAAAAGTTCTACAAAATAAGTTTGTGTAGGCAGCTGTAAATAATAATAATAATAGTCATAATAATATTAATCGTTGCATTTGACATCACACTTTATCACGTCTTCAAGACGTTTCAAAGCACTTCACAGAATATACTGTAAAGTGAATTGACTGTATATTTTGCTGGTGAAACGTGGCAGCCAATTGGGCACAAGAGTGTCCCACAAGCAGTTGTGGATTGAGTGACCAAATTAATATAATTTTTTTTGAAGGGATTATTACCCCTGGAAAAGTGATCCACCAATCGATTAACAACCAAATTCCTACTTACTGCTAGGTATATAGAGGCGTTTGGAGTAAGGAAACTTGCCTAACGTTTCGCCCTGCCGAGAATCTTGCCTCTTGGTTAGCGGGCGAGTGCACTAATCAATACACTACAGGACTCCACATTGCAAAATCATCAATGTTTAGTGAAAGCAAACATTGCCATTTTCACTCTCTTGCAAGCAAACCCCATATTGTGCTTATGCTGTGGGATGCAGCTCATTGTTTGGCTGGGGGTTAGCTGCCTGATGCAATGATGCGATGGCAAGTGGAGCAGTTGTGAATGAATTGGTCGTGAAGTGCCTATTCCCCTCTCCTTGATACACTTTATACATTCAATGGTAATGATGGACTTTAAACCCACATCCAACTATTGGATTGGGAATCAAATACAAGAATTGCAAGCGTGGATTAGGTACACACTTGAAAATTGAAACAGTTTGCTGATGATACGAAACAATATACACACACACACATACCCCTCCAATGCTACTGACCACTGAACACATCATGCAGGGAATGACTGCTTATTCAATACTATCTGAAGCTGGTCTCAAGACCCTTCTCTTCGATCGTGCCTTTGGTATCCCTCCCACCGCTCTGCCTTCCCTCACCCCTAAACCACCCGTCCCCCATACTCGGGCCCCGACGCCTGACTGTTCAGCGCTTTGGGAATTCCTCCCAATGTGAAAGGCGCTCTATAAATGTAATTTTGTTGTTGTTGTTAACTGCATTACTAACTTGTAACAAAGGTAACATAGGTATTCACCTGCAATTAAACAGTCATTCCATTTTACAGTAAATCCTGTGAAGTGCTTTGAGTCATTTCGGCATTGTGATAAAGCATTATATGAAATGCAAGGATTATTATTATTATTATCTTCTTATCCTCTATTTTCTATCCGCAATATTTAATCTGTTTCCAAAGCCATTTTCTGGAATAATTTGCCATTGTGGATTTTTTCTGGTTGTTTTACTGAAATTATATTCAAACATATCCTAAATGTTGCCAGTCCCATAATATATCCACCTATATAAGAAGCTGCTTCAAATTCAATGAAAGCAAGCAGCAGGCAACCCTTTATTTTACTGTGTAAAATGTTTCTGGTGAATGTGCAACCTATGTGTAAATGTACATCTATTTTGCTGCAAAGGGATTTAGCATCAGTGCAGGTCTACAGTTTGTTACCACTACTACATTTGTCAAGTGCTTTGAGATGTTCTTCTGTGCGAAAGATGCTAAACAAATTGGTCAGATTAATTTGATCATTCATTTCATGGCAAATTATGGACCTTTGCTTAAGCAAAATGGCTGTTTTTGTCTTGAAGAAAAATCACTGCATTTGACAGTAATTACTACGAGGCATTTTGAGATGCTCTAACTTTCTAGGTGCTGTAAAAATGCAAGTTCTTATAAATGCAAATTGTGCATTGTACTTTGACAAGAATCTCCTGTGGGAAAACATCTAACCTTTTTCTGGGGAAGAAACAACAAAGCAGGGGGTGGGTGGGTGGGGAGTAGGTGGTGATACAGTTCTGCGCATTGAATAGAGAGCAGAACATGTACTGTGATCTGCGAAATGGCATAATCCTGCACACTCAATACAGAATAGAGAGCTGTAGAAATCCTTGGCTAAATGCTATGATGGCTTAATGCCAGGAAGAGATAGAAATTCTCAGATCTACAGTATATCTATCAACGCATCATGTGGTGCAAACAGCTGCACAGTGAGTAAACCCTTACCTGGTCAATAAAAAGCATTTATGTGCACTTTCACACATGTTTTCTGCCCCACAAATAACAATGCTGTACAGTTACACAACTGAGTAACTTACCTTATTGAATAATAAGGAGGCGAGCGAGAGGACCCAGGTTCAATTCCCAAGCAGAGCGAAACCTTAGGCAAGTTTCCTTACTCCACATTTTTGGGTGAAAATCGATTGGTAAGAACTGATTTTTTCCTTTTAACTGAATTCAGTTTTTCAAAACAATTTTTTTTGGTGTCAGTGATGGAACACATACATCCTAAAACTTGCCTCGCTACATCCAGCGCCAGTTCGGGGAATACACATATAATGTCATCCACACATGCGCCTCCACAAGTAAGATGGTTCTTAGATTGTGTACACATCACATTGTGTGCGCAGTTCAGCAGACATTTCCAAATACATCATAATTCTCACTAAATTTCACCAGGTTTTGTTGTGTTAAATTTTGCCCGCCGATTTTCTCCCATTGTTTGGCAGAAAAAATCCCTTGGATTTTACATTGTGAATAAAAACTGATGTTAATGGGCCTTATATGCAAAGCATCCTGGTGAGAAATAAATCTTTTTACACCGTCTCGGGCAGATCAGAGCACGGCCACCAAAATGAGACAGCCCAAGGTTACCTGATAATAAACTCATAATTTTCAGGTTGGAAGGACAGGCCGTCCTGGGTTTCTGTATCAGTGACATAATTCATACAGTTAAAGTGCATTATATATAATTTCATTTCTGTCAATGGAATTTTAACAATTGCCTGAGTGTAGCCTATCCCTTATTGTAAAGTAGACATCATTACTTGGATTGTTGCACAATAAAAGCTGGATAAAAGTGTTTAGATTTGGATTAGATTAAATAGATCAAATTCATCAAACAAAAATGTGCCGTTATCTTATCTCCAAAAAGCCATGACCATGGAGGAAGCAGAGAAGCTGGTCAGAACAGTACAAGGGGCTCATTTAACCAAATGTAAGCATGGACCTGAACCAGGCTTGTGTTTTGGCTCTGAACCAAAAGGAGAAATTGAGATTTTATTGACTCCAATTGTGCCTGGATTCTATCAGAGACAATTTGCTTAGTCCTAGAAACTGTGTTTTGATATGTTTGTCAGAATGATTTCAGAAAGCTTGCCAGACAGCGATATCAATTGCAAGCTTTGCGGTTTTAGCTGGTTAGACTTCAGCAGGGCCCCAATGCACACTCCGGGGTCCCCAAGTCTCAGCTCTTGCCATCTTGTGCCTAATACTATTGGGAATTAAGTAAGCAGGATTCATCCCTCCAGGGAGAGAGTTTACATTCCATTGCAACAATTTATCACTGGGATTTCCATGTGCAGGTGGAATACGTGGAATTCTCAGCTTGGTTTGGATACTCTTAAGCATGGAGATGGGTTTCCGCGCGTGTCAGACACCCGGCTGACAAATAGTGGCCTGAGATTGTTAACATTCATTTGAACAGGCAGGTGGGATTGTCTGTTCAAGTGAACGTTAACATCTCATAATATATTGTTATCCTGAATGAAAATCTTGATGAATTCAACTTTCAATCATCGTGAATTTGGTCACTGGAGTCTAAAACGTCAACTTAAGAACACTCTGGTAAGTTAAAGTTTCACCAGACTCTGTCCACCGCAGGAACATGTAATAAGTCGCTGAAGAGATGCTCATTTATTTCAGTTATGAGCTCAGGCAGCAGTTGGCCTCCTTGGTGCAGCAGGAATCAATTCCCTTTCACTAAGTAACAATACTTAGGTACTTAGCCAGCACTGAATTAGAAAACTGCTTGCCTGTCTGGATTGACATTCTGAAATGAAAATAACACTGATTCCCACTACTCAAATGGAGTGGTTTGCTGACTTGGTGGTGACCTGTATCACCTGAATAGCTCCCTTGACCTGAAATGGAAACTTCCTAGAAGGTTACTGCAAAGAAAATAAAGTTGAGAATTTATTTTCCCAGGTAGGAATTTACACAACTTGACCTGATTGAGTGAGACTAGTTCACAGAGGTTGTATCCTTCCAACACCTTACCCCAGTATACCGTCTCCTGTTAACTAACACAAAGATTAATGTATAAGCAATGTGGTGCTCCTTCAAGCACCTTACCCTCATTCTGTCAGTTATATGAGTTAAATGACTTTTTTTTCATTGTGACATTCTGATGCTGTGCATGGAAGTGGTGGGTCAGAGGGTTAGGTGCTGTTTCTTGGAATAGTCTGTTTCTTGGGGTCAAACTGGAACTGAAAAGGGACAATGTGAAAGAGATCATTTCCTCCCCTGGTGGAGTGGACAAATCATGCATAATTCACTGTGAATTGACAGGTGAACGGGTTACTGCCTTTTGCTGGATATAAGCTGTGTGGTAGATAACTCCCTGTGCAGAGGCAGATATCACGGAGATGACCAGGATTTCAGTTTCAATCAGAAACATGTGAGCAGACAAATGGCAAAAATGAATTATTTCATAGATTCCTCAACCTCAATTTTACTTTGCATTTTCCCACATTGTTACAGCAGTTCATTAATTCCAGCATATTACAAACTACTCTCTAGGTTTTTTTGAAGGATTAATATACTGTAATAGTAGACAAAATGGTAAGTAAATGGAAATTAAAAAATCTGACTTGCGTCATCCCAAGTTAATTCAGCTCAACCTTCAAAGTGCACAGCAGGATTTAACACATGCTATTTGCTTATCACAATTTACAGGAGAGGTTCAGATGAAGAAGACCCTTCGACCCATTTGATCTCATCTTTCCAGAATACCCACCCTACCGTTTTCAATTACAACAACAAGCTGTTTCTTAAATGACTGCAGCATCCCACCCTCTATCACTGATCCTGGTAACCTGTTCCAGTGTTGAATACCATTTGTGCAAATAAATACTTCCTAGTAGCTGTCCTAAACTTGTCTTTCCCAACCCTGATTCTTGGTGTATCTGAGAGGATTGGGGTATCTGAAACCAATGTTTCAATCTACACTAAATTTACTGAACAAAGGATTCAGTTCAGTCTGAACATTGGTAATGATTGGAAGCAGTAAGATGACTGTCAGTTGAAGGAGGGACACCATGGTATTCATTTGAAAAGATCAGGGGCTGCAACAACAGAGGAAGAGTTCACAGTTGGCTTTTTGCAGCATTTCAAAAAGAGTAGGTACAGAGGACCACATAGAGAACCAATGGTATAAAACAACCCACCACTGCCCCAAAAGTGCTATATCATCTAGATATCATTCATTCATATCCTTTATACGAAATGGAACTTCTCTCCATAGGCTGATGTATTAGTGAGAATGAAAGTTAGTTAAATTACTATGCCAATTAGTTACAGAGATAGACATGGAGACTAGCACTCAGACACCATTGCTCCAGTGGAGGAACTGTTACCAACACAGACTCGCTGGGCTGAATGGCCTCCTATATTGCAGTTTCTATGCATTTTTGATAACTTGATACGTTGCATTGATTTATTGCATCAGATGCAACTGTTTATTTCTATTATAACTTGCTAAAACATATTCCTTTCAGAGAAGTGACTGAGGGCGGTTTACCGACTGTGGAGGAAGTTAATTTAATTCCTGCACTTGAATAAACTATGCAAATCAGATACTGTTGAATAATCAAAATGTATTCAGTGATTTGCCTCCTCCCACATGAGTGGGATAGGTTCTGTTTGCTCTGCATATGTGTGTTCCGTCAAATATTGGTGTCTCGCCTGGAACATGCTGTGTGATTTCTAACAAAAGATGATCATACTTGTGAGTTATCAACTATAAGTTTAGGAGTCTGACTTAAGTCTGACAATGGGAACAGTATAGAAACAGTTAATAGTAGACCACTGTGGACTGGAGAGAGAATTGGTGGAGCAAGAAATTGGTCTATCAGCTAGGAAGGCGCTTCATTCAGAGAGGTTGTTATTGTGTCTCTGATGTAGTGCAATCCTTGGCCATCTGTCTAGATGGGAGGTTCAAGGTAACAATTTGCCGATTGAAATGTTCTTTCTTTTGGGACGGAGTTTGCGTAACATTGTACACGTGAACTCCTTCCATGGTCAGCCCAGGGTCCAGAACTACACATTAATTAATAGCCCATTAAGATGAATGTTTGTTAAGAACTCATGACTTTGAGACTTGTAATTGTTAGGTATTTTTATATTACAATGTTTTGAGGCAGAACCTTATATTGGTTGGGTGTTTTGGTTCTGAGGAATTGGATTGCAGCTTTGCTTCTCTCAGCTAAAACCATACCATTTACCACTGCGAATACTAGCAACCTTCTCACTGCTTGTCAGCCTACCTATTGAGGCTTTGGTTTACAAGGTTAAAAAGAGTCAAGTGGGAATAATCTCAGCTCCCAGTGATTGCTGCTAGAGGGTGGTCAGTGCCTGTAGGACCACACCTTGAAAGGCAGTGCTGTGATTGTTCATGGTGAAGATGATAAATACATGTGAAATTGAGATTATCCAAAAAGAAAAGGCAAAAATAAATCTTTAAAATACGTCATGAGTTGAGGAGACTTTATGAATTCTGGTGATGAATTGTTCCTCATTAAACACCATCATTCAGATTATTATATAATGAAGGAGAGGGGTTGACATAAATCATTACATTGTCAAAATGAAGTTTTCCCACTTATTCACTGATGATATTATGAGTTGAATTGTCGATGCTCGGAGTAGTGCTGCTTCTCAGCGAGAGGTTGTGAACAGCACATATACCATCAGAAAGCTATTTTCAGGAGATTAAATCCTTGAGTATCTATTTTTAATCTCATTATTGGTTGTAACAATTTTCACCTTTAATTATCCATCGTTTGGGTGGTTAATTTCCATAAAATGAAACCAGGAGTACCTTTTCAGTCCATTGGATCAGAAAATAATATAAATCTGTTCTGATGCTGTGTTTCTTAAAGGAGCCAGTGACATTACATTAAGTGTATAGAGACACTGCTTTGAATGAGCAATTGAGTAGCAATATTGTATTAAGCAGTCAACAGAGAACCAGTTGGTGTGTATCCAAGTAGCCTTTCATTGGCATCTTGAATACTGAATGTGAGGTTCAGCTGTATAGAGGAGCCAACTTGGATGGTCGTGAGCACGAAGTTGCTTGCTCACACTGGCATCCCAGTTCCCAGCTAAAATGCAGACTTCAGCTGGGTTTAGTCCAGGCGAATCACATTCAGTTCCACAAGAATGCCACATTATGCTCAAACAATATCCAATTGACATTACCTGGTTTAATGAGAGCTGTGTTGAGTCATTGACCAAAAAGTATTAAGGGTTTGTCAGTTCGAGGGCATGAGGCCATCGAAAGGACATGAATACTGTCCAAGTCCCAGTCCTCAATATTATACAGCTGCAGGCCATGTAACACAAAGACTCAAGCTTTGTGAAACAGTACGATCAACTTCCACACATTTGGCCCCATTCCTATCATTCTTCTTCTTGAGAAGAGCAATCACATGTTTATCTCCTAAGGTGACAGCACTTTATTAATTTGGATGATAATTTATTCCTTATTTAACACAATTTTTAGATCTTTGCATTATAAAGAGTGTGGCTGACTCAATCCTTACATTGTCAAAATGAAGTTGCTCCACTTATTTGTACATGCAAATGTCCACCATTGGTATCCTGAATTGAATAGACAACGCAACACAGCTGCTTATCAGGCAGGGATGGTCACCACAATATTGCTTAACAGTCATTTGGAATTCAAGGTCAAGTAGAAGCGTCCCTTTGAAGTTAGTAACGTAATCAACCGGGTAAAGGAAAAACAGGTAAAGAAAACTTAAATGTAAGGTTGAGAGGCTTAACCCAATCCAGTGGATAAAGGCAACAAAGGGTTTGCCCAGCAGCAGTAAAAGTGATTGTCCACAGGGTTAAGACAAGTTAGGTAGGAGATCCACTGGTATCTGTCCTGAAATTGCTATTTGCAACTCAAAACCTGTGTCCTTTTTTTCTGCTGACTTGGTGCATCCTAAAGTATTGTTCTGGGTCTAATATCTCAATCACATTTCAGAACATATATACTTTTATAAGATCCCATCCAAGACATCTCTTGTTTAGCCTGAAGAGCACTAGCTTGGCTAATTATTGCTCAGAGCCAATTCCTGTAATGCTGGGGATCATCCTCAATGTTACAAGAAGCAGTGAAGATAACTCTTGGCAAGTTCAATCCCATCCATGGAGTATATGTGCTCACTGGCTCTGGGGCTTGAGCTCTTACGTCTGGATGACTAGAGCTGTTTGCAGACTCTCAGAGCAGTCAGACCGGAGCACTACACGGCTTGAGGATGAGTTCTGGGCATCTGAAATAAATTGATTTGGCAATATAGCCCAGCATTCTATTTGCCTTGTTTATTGCTGCTTCACACTGTTTTGACATGGTGAGCGATGAGTCATCTAACACCCCTGGATCCCGTTCAGCTTCCCTCTTGGCAAGTTCTATCCCATCCACAGAGTATGTGTGCTTCTTGTTCTTATTTCCTATGAATAGAATACAGTATTCATCAAAGACCTAATAATACAATAATCTGCAATCTGAGGTACAATGCAGTAATTAGCAACCAGATAGTCATCAAAATGATAACTATAATAATCAGAAGTGAAACAGTACTGTAATTAACAATCTTAGATACAATACTGTCAATTGCCAGACAGCTATACAAACGTAATTTGTTGTTGTTGCTGTAGTAATCATAAATATAATAGGTATCAATAATCAGGTGTAGTGGTCCTGAGAACTAGAATTATAGCGCAGTAACTAGCAATCAAATGCAGAGGTTATCAATAGTCAGATTGTACATAGTAATAATCTGATAACAATCAGAGCAACAGACAAATACAGCAATATATAATCAGAGGAACTTGTCAAATACAGCAATGTATCAGGGCGTAGCAATAATTTGTACAATAATTTGTAACGAGTAGTCATGAGTCAGCAATAATTCAAGAGCAACACTCATAATATAATAACTTCATTTCTGAATTCCAGTATTTTCCTTTATGCATTGGGATCCTTAACAGGCAGATGAGAACTCAGTTTAACATTTCAACCAATGTATGGCACCTCTGATATTGCAGCGCTCTCCCTCCCCCCCCCCCCCCCCCCCCCCCTCCAAGCAAAGCACTCTGGAGTAACAATTAATGGCAGAAACAAGTCATTTAGAAAATGGAAGGTTAAAATCAATAAGCAAGTAATTAGTTGCAGTCATTATTATTATTACATTGGCTAAAGTGATTTTACATGAATATAAGTAGCTTGAAAGTTATCTATGGGATGAGATGATGAATATAATTCATTTTGCAGAAGCCTGGTTAAAATCGGAGGTTGCCAAGGGGCTCATTATATAACCTTATGCTTTGTTCAGCAGAGCATGCTGAGCATGCTGACACCCACCGACATGCAAACTGGGGCAGAGGGAATAAAGTGGGAAATATATTAAAACAGATACTTGTGTGAGACATTTGCAACGCACGGGAAAATAAAATGGGGGACATGGTAATATTGCCAATAAGGGGTGATCTTCAAAGAGCCTGAAGAAAATAAGTCATCTGGGTCTTGATACACCAGTGGTCATAGTTATTAGATTGAATACTGTAATGGGGACGAGCAATAATGATCATTCCAATTTGAGGCCAGAATAGAAAGAATAAATTGGGAAATAGCCCCACCCTACCATGGGAATGCGCTGACCATTGATTGACATCAGTGGTGCTTGCATTACAGCTTTACAGGTTATAGGGCTGCTGAGTCTTGAAGGCAATGTTGGGACTGGTTTTAAACAAATTTTCCTGTAACGCCGTCCTTTGTACTTTCCTAGGATCATCCATGAGGATGGTTTCTCCGGTGACGATGTCAAGCAGTACAAGCCTGTTGTGTACAGCAACACCATCCAGTCACTGGCAGCGATTGTCCGTGCCCTGGACACCCTGGGTATCGAGTATGGTGACAAGGAGAGAAAGGTAAGTTGATGAAAACAAATACACTGCTTATACTCGTGGAAAGGCAGGTGGGCAGCAAGCTACAAATCAATATCTGATATAAGCAAACCAGGCCAACATACTACACCATGATATCAGTTGCTGTTTGTGGACATATTACCTATTTTGCAGAATCAACACACCCAGTTGATTGGGCCATTAATAATATGCCTGTTGAAAAAAAACAGAGAATCAGCAATAAGTACTGTATACAAATTTTACTGGGTTCATGACTAAATCGGGAGTTAGATATTGAAATTTGTACAACAATAAACAGAAGATCCAGTGGAGATTCAGCAACGCATGATGTCAGGGCTACGTTAACCATGTCTGGCACAGCTGCACATTTCTAGCTGGTTATTAATTAGGAATTCCACCAAAGAATGGCCATTTAATGGAATCACAGCCTTGCCCCAAATCATGAATAGTTGATGATAATTCCTTGCTATGACAATCCATAATCGATTCAGAAAGACAGTTTTCATATCTGGACAATAAGTATTGTTTCCTAGACAGTGCTGGGGCTTATATATCTCACAGAATCCTTTAGCTCAGTGGTTAGAGCACTCGCCTCGCAAGCAAGAGACCTGGGTTCGATTCCCAGCAGGGTGAAATGATGGGCAAGTTTCCTTACTCCTCACGTCTCTGTTTACCTAGCAGTAAGTAGAAATCCGGTTGGTAATTGATTGGTGGATCGCTTTTCCGGGGGTAACAATTCCTTCAAAAAAAAATATAATAAATTGGTCACTTCAATGCACGACTGTTTGTGGAGCACTTCTGTGCACAATTGGCTGCCGCGTTTCACCCACAAAATATACAGTCAACTCACTTTACAGTCTATCCTGTGAAGCACTTTGAGACATCTCGAAGACGTGATAAGGCACTATATCAAAGGCAAGGAATATTATTATTACCTCAGCAATGATTATCTTCACTTTAAAAGAATGTGTTGGCCTAGCTCCCCCGATGGCCTGGTGGGTAAAGGTACACTAGGCCATACAGATGGTAAAGCTACAAGTTCAATTCCCACGCTTGCCTGAACTAACTGATCTCAGCAAGGACATTGCTTGGCCTCAACTCCCTGTGGGTGAGAGGAGGGAATCAGCCAAAGTTTCAGTTCCTCATTTCCAGAAGACGTGGGTTGCGTGAGAATACGATCAGGCTCTTTCACGAACAAACAGTTGAAATAACCTGCTGACACACACTAGCAAGACTCGCACATAAATGACGGTCACCTGGGTAGAAAAAGGAAGAAAATAACTGGAACACCTTGGGGAGCAGGGAATAGTTATCATTGATACAAAGAAAACCCAGAGCGAAAAATGTCACATGTGGTTCCTTCAGACTTGAGTGTAACATGTCGGCTGAATTGTATAACAAAATTGTGATACGAAATCCAGCACTTTCATAACGTCATCGTTCTCTCGTCATGAAATACAAAGAGGACATCTCTGAGTGCAGCAGCATTTCAGTCAAAGCAAGCTGAGTATTGTCAGATAACAGGGTGGTCTGTATAACTCAGACTGATGTCACAAGTCAGTTAGACCTTTCAAGTATGTGCATGCTATGCATGTATGTCGTCTGTTCTGCTCCTCTTTCTGTAATTTGTGATATTAGTGCAGCTTTGGATTCAATACTGAAATTTGCGATGGAACACAACACAGCCCACATGGCATCCTTGTAAGGTAACGCTTAGCAGATTGAATTACTGACACAGCCCCATATGTAAACATCCAGGGCATGCAAACATTCAATATGCAAACACACTCACACAGATGGATTTTGCTGCTCCTACTGATGGCACAGGTTCTGAAAGCTATAAAGTCCATTTCGTTGGAACAAATTAACTTGTAGTTCAGGGGCAACTTTATTTAAACTCTACAAACAAATTCTTGTAATTGCCGTGGCAACACTCTTAGTCAAGATATATATAGTTACAAATGTGACGTCAGCATGATCTTTGTTTCTCTGTTCAATGTTGTGTGATATGATACTAATAAAGGTAAAAGGAGGTTTGATGCATGAGATCAAATCTAAAGTGTAGAAAGTCACACTCTATTGTCTTGGGTACAGATTGGAATAACCTTACTCTTGCCATGTGCCCAAGGCACCCAATTTATTCCAAAAGTGATAACAGGCACTTGCGTGTTTGGCATTGAGCTTAAGGAGGCCTGCACTGGAGCTGAGGTTGGAGAGAAAGCAACGGATTTGTGAGTAGTTAAGTAATAATTTACCGAACTGACAGAAACAGGAGGTGAGTACCAATCTTGATGAAGGGGCAGTGCTGGAGGCATCTTACCCAGTAATACTTTGCCGAGGATCGCCATGCCAAGCAACAGTTTCCTCGAGAAATACTCTGCAATCCCCTGCTCCCCAAAAAACCCGCCAGTGTGCCCTTTGGCAAAGGGGAAGCCAGCCAGACATTTACCCACAGAAGAAAGGGAAATCATTGAAAATCGGTTTCATTATATATTTGTATTTGCACAGGGCCTTTTAATTTGCAGTGCAAGTGCTGAGTGATTCCAACATTCCAACAACGACAACAACAAAATTACATTTATATAGCGCCTTTCACGTCAGGAGGTTCCACCCTTCTTCATAATCATATCCTGTTGCTTTCTTTTACCAGCGAACCAAAAAGAGAGGCAACTGAATTCCACCTCACTCAACATCCCTTGGCCAGGTAGACCATAAATAGAGGTGCAGAAGTAGGATCACAATTGTCCCTGAGCCATTACAATGAGCACTATTTTGCTCATGCTTTAGAATCTCAATTGAGAGATGAATTCCAAACTTGATGTAGGCCAAGCACTGGAATGTTCCAATACCTACAAATCCCTCCTTGAGACAAGTTCAAATCTGAGAGTAAGAACTGACAATGCAGTGGAGTATTGAGCTCAGGTTAGGGGACATGCGTTTGAATTCCCGTCCTGACTGGCATTAACGCAAGTTAGTCTTAGGGGATGCTTTGTATTTTCGATACAGTATTAAATCACAGATAAGAACCTCAGATCAGTGCACATATCTTAGGGTTATGATGGTACAGTGTACTGCTCAAGGCTCAAAAGCACAGCAGCTGTTTGTCATAAAATGAAGCTTTCTCTGTGAGTAAGTGCCTGATAACACAGTTGGAGTCATCCAGTCTTGTGGACAAAACTTGGCTTTTAATGTTTGAGTGCAACGTCCGTTCAAGTAAATGTTTTCTCTTAAGTGTCTCACTAAAAGCTTCTGGGGCCATTTCTTGGTACATTTATAATAAGGGCATCTTCTGTGTGTAGTACAGGCTACTTTATCACAATGGACGGTAAAGAATGCAAGGATTGTATCGAACGGAGAGGAGGAAAAATACAGGCTCAAGCATAATATTAGAAGGCATTTCTTTTGAACTGGCCTTCTCTGCTCTAAACTTCTATAATTATCTGAAAAATGTGGGTCAATTCCTGTTCATTATTCTGTGGAGAAGAGGAAAATGTTGTAATCGGAATCAATCAATCACTGGGTTTCGCAGCCCAGTAAATACTTGTTTGTATTCAGACTCTTTTATTCTTCCAGTCCTTTGCCACGACTGTGCAGATACCATTTCTGATAAATTTCCATTCACAGTATTTAGTGGAAACACATTCAGCAGATGGAGAAGTGTGGAGAATTTAATTCTCACTTTGAGTTATTAATAACTCTTTATCGCGCCCTCTCCCATCTAAAGAGAGCTTTGCGTCAAAGCGGCTGCAATTGGTTTTGAGTTAAAAACTTTGACCACAAGCAACTTCACACTGTGGCAGAAATCCTGTAGTGATTTCTCAAATTTTAAACTTTTATTGAATAGCACCCCCTGGCTTAGGTGAAAGTGATTTCTTCTGTGTCCTGGCCGGCTTATATTTGAATCTCCCATATATTGAATTTGTTGCCTACGACATTTACATGTCCCTGCCTGCACTAGATGCTCCCACATAGTTATGAAATACAATTCATCAAAAAGAATGAATTGCAAATATTCAATTCAGGTTAATAATAATCGGTGCATTTGATTCAGCACCTTATCATGTCGTCGAGACATCTCAAAGCACTCCACAGGACATAATGTAAAGTGGTGTGAGTGTGTGTATTTTATTGTTGTTGCCAAAGTGCACGTAGCAATTGCAAATCAACTATGCGAACAGTCACTTAAGGGTGCCTTAACGAACACATTGTCAGCTAACACAGTAACACATGGATCATTGAGATCTCATTTAAAGTGTAGTAGTGTTTCTGCTACATGGACAAGTTTGGCACTTAAACCAAGATGACATCAAGATAACTCTCAAAATTGCTTCTGTTTGGATCTCTGACAACACAATCTAATTTGTGGTATTTCTTAATATGATTCAGTATTGTGGAATTGAAAATGTGCAAATGAGATCTATTTGTGGTAACCAAAAATATACCTCTCTGGCACAATTCACCTCCAGAGCGGAGTTTGCATTAATGGAATTCTAAAGGCGTTCTTTATTAAGGGTTTCCAATTAGAAATTCCAATATTTAGTCCTTAATGTCTGTATCCATAATCAGAGTAACATTTGTTTTGTAATTGCAGTGTTATATCTGTGCCCAGAACATAACATGTTTTGGTTTCTTTATTCCAATTGGAGGTGAGAAGGGAGAGCAATAAAATATCTTCACAACTGTGATCCTTGTGATACCTTAGTACTCAACATTCTGTAATGTCAACAAAACACAGAGGTGAAAAAGGTATAAATGTCTACGTAGTATATCTAGTATCGGTATGCACTATATTTTGCCTCAAAAATACAGTCAATGCACTTTACAGTATATTCTGTAAAGCGCTTTGAGATGTCCCAATGGCATGATAAGGTGCTATATCAAATGCAAGGATTATTATTATTACTAAATGCTGATTCTTCCATTGTTGTGTGGCTCTGGATACTATAAACCAAATACTATAAGCAACTATACTTGTTCAAGCTGGATTCACATTCCTCAAACGT